GAGAAAGGGAAAGATATACCCAACTGAATGCAGAGTTCCAGAGAAGAGCAAGGAGAGATAAGAAGGTTTTCCTAAAGGAGCAATGCAAAGAAACAAAAGAAAAGAATAGAATGGGAAAGACTAGAGATCTCTCCAAGAAAATTGGGAGATATTAAGGGAACATTTCATGCAAGGATGAGCATGATAAAGGACAGAAACAGTAAGGACCTAATAGAAGCAGAACAGATCAAGAAAAGGTGGCAAGAATACACAGAAGAACTACAAAAAAGGTCTAGGTCATTCACCTAGAGTTGGGCATCCTGGAGCATGAGGCCAAGTGGGCCTTAGGAAGCATCACTACAAACAAAGCTAGTGGAGGTGTCAGAATGCCAGCTGAGCTATTTAAAATCCTCAAAGACAATGCTGTTAAACTGCTGCACTCAATATGTCAGCAAATTTGGAAAACTCAGCAGTGGCCACAGGATTGGAAAAGGTCAGTTTTCATTCCAATCCCAAAGAAGTGCAATGCCAAAGAATGTTCAAACTATTGTACAATTGTGTTCATTTCACATGCTAGTAAATTTATGCTTAAAATCCTTCAAGCTAGGCTTCAGCAGTACGTGAACCAAGAACTTCCAGATGTACAAGCTGGGTTTCGAAGAGGTAGAAGAACCAGAGATCAAATTCCCAACATCTGCTGGATCATGGAAAAAGAAGGGAATTCCCGAAAAGCATCTGCTTCAGCATCACTGACTATGCTAAAGCCTTTGACTGTGTGGATCACAACAAACTGTGGAATATTCAAGAGAGATGGGAGTACCAGACCACCTTACCATCTCCTGAGAAATCTGTTTGCAGTTCAAGAAGCAACAGTTAGAACAAGACATGGTACAACCAACTAGTTAAAAACTGGGAAAGGAGTATGACAAAGCTGTACACTGTTACCTGCTTATGTAACTTATCTGTGGAGCACATCATTCAAAACGCCAGCTGGGTGAGTCACACGCTGGGATCAAGATTGCTGGGAGAAATAACCACCACCTCAGACATGCAGATGGTAACACTCTAATGGCAGAAAGTGAAGAAGAGCTAAAGAGCCTCCTGATAAGGGTGAAAGAGGGGAGTAAAAAAGCTGGTTTAAAACTGGACATTCAAAAAACTAAGATCATGACATTCGGTTCCATCACTTCATGGCAAATAGATGGGGAAACAAGGGAAACAGTGACAGACTATTCTCTTGGGCTCCAAAATCACTGCAGATGGTGACTGCAGCCATGAAATTAAAAGACGCTTGCTTCTGGGAAGTAAAGCTGTGACAAACCTAGGCAGTGTATTAAAAAGCAGAGACATCACCTTGCCAATAAAGGTTTGTAGAGTCAAGGCTATGGTTTTTCCAGTAGTCATGTATGAATATAAGAGTTGGGCCATAAAGAAGGCTGAGTGCCGAAGCATTGATGTTTTTGAATTCTGATGCTGCAGAAGACTCTTGAGAGTCCCATGGACAGCAAGGAGAGCAAACAAGTCAATCCTAAAGGAGATCAACCCTGATTGCAAGGAGTGATGCTGAAGCTGAAGCTGCAATACTTTGGCCACCTGATGCGAAAAGCCAACTCGCTGGAAAATACCCTGATGCTGGGAAAGATTGAAGGAAAAGGCAAAGGGGGGAGCAGAGGGTGAGATAGTTGGATAGCATCACCGACTCAATGGACATGAATTTGAGCAAACTCCAGGAGATAGTGGAGGACAGAGGAGCCTGGCATGTTGCAGTTCTTGGGGTTGCAAAGAGTTGGACATCACTTAGTGACTGAACAACAACAAATCACAAGCAGTTACAGCAAAAAGCGAAGCAGCTATGGAGTCTGATGTTGTAATCCAAAACAGAACACACACCTGCCCCTGGGAGAAGGCATGCTCCATGCTGACAGCCCCTGGTCATTACAGATACTGCTGCTCTGCTGGTAGAGGCCTATGATGGTGTTCATTAGGCACTGCCAAGAAAGCAAATCTGAAGAGCAGCTTGAGCCTAAAAAGTTCAAATATTCCAAATGCAGACAGGCTCATATTTGTATTCCCTGCCGCAAATGTCTCAGAGTGTAATCAAGAGTAGCCAAGCTTGTGCATGAGTTTAGAATGTTGCAAGTTCCTGCTGAAGAGAGGCTGGTGCAAAGTGTGTGAACCCAGGAGAGGCTCTGAAAAGTCAACTGCTCTCCCTGCACTTTCCCCTTCTCCTCTGCTGTCCTACCTCCGCTCCCCGGGCCCACCCTCTGATCAGGTCAGGTGCCCAGAGACTGGGAGTGACCCATGCAGAAGAGTGACATGTTCGGTGGTCACGTCAGGTGCCCAGAGACTGGGAGTGATCCATGGGGAAGAGTGACATGTTCGGCCAATCTTTATGGCAAATTGAAAGGCCTCTAGGAGCCCAGTGGAAATGGAATGGAATAGGGAGCATCCAGTAGATATAGTGAGGGAAGGGAAAACAAAAGCCAAATAGATGTAAACCTAAAATGTTAATGCGATCTTTATTATACAGCACATCTGGTGTGTGTACATCCCAGAAGTACACTCTATAAAACCAAGTCCAGCCATTCAAAATTACACTAAATGAAGACTTAACCCATAGTTGCATGGCTTAAAAACATACACGATTAACACTGTCCTGCTGTAAGAATATTATGGATAGAGACGGGGAGCACAGGAAGGGAGAGGGTGTAAAAACTGGAGTTTGTGCCCGAGTAATTTTCTCTTGTTATTGCACTTTTATTCTACATACTTAGTATATCACACTTTTATTTAACACTGTAATAATAAACATTAGTCCTTTAAAACAAACAAACAAAAACATTACGTAAAGACAAAAGACAACAAGCTATCCAGACTGGTTTCCAATGTCAAGTGTTCACACACAGCCTGTTTTCCATCAGCTCAGATGGACTGGAGGTTAACAAAGCAATAAAGTTAAAAATAGAACCCTTTTAAGAACAGTAGTGCTATTTAAAATCCCCAAGGGAGTTTGCCATACAAGTTTCTCAAGGTTACTCCCACCTAACCCACTTAAACATCACACTAGCCCTAACCTACCCCACCCTCATATTTAGAAGGATAAACCCTCTTTTTTTCTTTTAAAGAAAAAGTGGGTTATTTGGTCCAGCAAATCCAAAAATCAAGCTTTGAAAACTCAAAGAAAGCAACTACTCTTTTAGCAATGGACTCTTGGAGGGCTATTTATCCCACTCTGATGCAGTATGAACTTCCTGACTAGTCAGATGGAATACCATGCATGCCTTCTCTCCAAAGCAAGGCCGGGGGGAGTCTGTCCCCCAAAGTGCTATTACAGTCAGCAACCCCTTGGCTTCTCAGTGCTAAACAATAAGCCAAAAATAAAGTGTCACTCAGTGCGGGTATCACTTCGCAGCCCTGCTGCCCAAACCACTTCTCTCATCAGGGCAAAACTTTCTCAATGCCTCTTTGGCAGCTCAAGCAAAAATGCAAAAAAAAAAAAAAAAAAAAGCAATGGAGAGCTGACAGGTAGGAGCTGAGAGTTGTACAGTCCGTGTTTCTATCTGTGGCAGTAATACAGCCTTCTCTTTCACTCTTTTCTTTTAGTGTTAAAAATTAGGAGAAGCTGCTGCCTAGGCTCTGTCCCTTTAAAACTGGTGGAGTCACAAATGACTTCTTTGGTCTGAGAAGAACCAGCACAGCCCTCCTTTCCAGAGAAGTGAAAGGCTTTTGCTCAATAAGCCCCTCTCTGCAGAGGACCCAGGGAGCGAGGGCATGTCTAGGGAACTCCACCCCAACATGCATCCCTCAGTTTGCCCAGACCAACCTTGCGGCCAGCTCCCCCAGCCACAGCAGCTACTCTGGAGCCCCAGGCCCCACTGTGTCTCCTGACTGCTTGGCAGGAAGGCTCCTCAGTCAGTTCTGAAGCAACAGAAGTGACCAGACTTCAAGCACGTTAAAAGTGGCCAGGTGATCATTTTCAGGCTGAGGTGAACTTCCCTAATTCAGGTGGTAAGAAGGAGGGAACACAATAAGGGTAATTCTTCTCCCCACCCTTCCTCCTCCCCCAGCCACAGTCTCACCTCATCACGTGGGAGCACAGACAACCAACACTAGGAGGTAAAATCTTTAAGACTTTGGTCTTGTGGAGCCCTCTACAGCCCAAGTCCTTCCAGACTTTGAATATCTAGTGTCTTCCCAAGTAATATACAATACAGTACATTTCATGGCATTCCATCAGTTAAATAATGGATGCCAAGGAACAAAGAACCCCAAATCAGTGGACACTGTTATTAAACAAAAGCAAAGTATACGCACATGTTACACATATGTATTCCCGTACTCAGCCTGCTGAGTGTTTAAATAACACTTCCAAATATCTACATCTGGACTTTGGCTGGCCTGGAGACTTTCAGGAATATTTTGCACCTTTTCTTGGAATACTTTTTAAAAAATGAACTGTAACCACTTATCTCCTTACTAAGCATTAGCCCCTCCCTTGCTTCTTCCTACGCAGGCAAACGATATGGGGCATCTGCCAGGAAACTAATGTCTGAGAAACTAGGCCACAGGGGATAAACCGAAAAGCGGCTTTGGGTAGAGAAAAACCTAACCTCCCATGTGTAAATAGGAGTATGGACTACTAAGGCTTCAAAGAATGTTGGGAATGTGGGCTCCACAATGGAAGCACAGAGTCCTGATTATAGCTGGAGCTAAAAGACAGTCTGGAAAAGGGAACTGTGTACGACTTTTCTTGAAATTTCATACAGAAGAGATTTACACTGATTTTTTTTTTTTTGGCTAAAGAAATAGCCTGGGCACAGGGGACTGCTGGATGTGCTTAAATAGCCATCCGACTCTTCACTATCTGGGAGTCATCTCTGCCTGGGAGGGTCTCAAGTTTCCCAGCAAGCATCAGTCCCCTCGGGAGCGCTCTGTAACGAATAAATGTCAAATTCTTCCCATAGCCAAAAGGTGAGGGGAAGGAAAAAAAAATAAAGACTGAAAGAGAAAGGTCTCTGCTGTCAAGTAGAATCATCGAGTCCTCTGTTTGGCCTCTCAGAATGTGACTTGCATAGCCGGTCCATGATGCCCTGGAGCATGGGCTGGACAATGCCCAAGAGAGGTCTCTGAGAGGGGTCACCATCCCAACAGGCTTCCATCAGCTGCCAGCACTCCTCATCAAACACAGGAAGGCGTTCTGGACGGGCCCCTAGAGAACGGAGCATCTAAATAAGACCAGAGGCAGCGAGAAGGGACCAACACAACAAAGAGGCATGATCAGCTCCGAGGCCAATTACCCAGCTGGGCCCAGGATGTTAAAGGATGCAAGAAGCTTTGGCTTCAACTGCAGTTATCTAGGTGAGAACTTAATAGTAAGAGTGATGAAAAAGTGGAATACACTGGCATAGGAAGTTGAAGAATTAAAGAAAAAAAAGCCTTTCTGAGAATTCAGAAACCATGCTGCCTGGACGGAAAGGTTGGACTTAAATGTCTTTTCTGGATTCCACGGTGGTTTAAACGTGTATGAGGTCCTGCTGTGGAGTGGCCAGAGCGGGGGTTTCAGCGTGCTCCCGCCAAGGGAGACGGTGAAGCAGGGCTCGTGGCGCTTACCTCTCCGGACATTGTTCCAGAGATGGTCTTTGCTGGCACACCTCTCAAATGCCTCTGGGAGCTTGACAGAGCCTGAGCAGATATACCAGAAGAGAATGCCAAAGGCGTAGACATCCACGGAATTATCATACTTCCCTGCAGTAAGAAAGGGTGACAAGTAGTGAGCAGGGAGGGAATCAACAGCATCACACTCACCTGCATCAGTGGAGGCCTTTTCACACTGTTTCTAGAGCCTTTACTATCCATTATCTCTTATAACAACCCTGTTAGAAAGGACACATTTATAATGCCCGTTTTATAGTATGAAAAATTACAGCACTGGGAGGGCCAAAGATTAAGAAGAGAACCAAGACTAGAATTTGACAAAGGAGAAGGAAAATAGGCCTTTAATTTTAATGGGACTGTCAAAAAGATGAATCCTGAAAGGTCATGTTAGGGAAATAAAATTGGAAAATACAGGTGGGTAAACAGGTTGGAACCAGAACATTTTTTACACATTTTAAACATATTTAAAGTCAGATAGTCTGGATTCGGTGGGGAGAAGGGGTCATTTATGCTTTAGAGCAGGAGGTAACATGAAGAAAATATTTTAGAAAGATTACTTTTATAACAGTAGAATGAACTGCAGTAGCAACGATCAAAGGACTTTAAATATGAAGTGGCCAAGATCAAATAATAGAAGTGGGAATAGAAATTTTTTAAAGTCAGGGAAAGAAAAATGGTGACTGCCTACTTCTTTCCGATGTGTGTAAAACTATAGCTGTCCAACTAACTCCTGATCCTTATGTTGCTGTCGCTCAGTCGTGTCTGACCCTTTGCGACCCCAGGGATTGTAACACGTCACGCTCCATGCGATTTTCTAGGCAAGAATACCGGAGTGGGTTGCCATGTCCTTCTTCAGGGGATCTCCCTGACCCAGGGAGCAAACATGACTCTTCTGCACTGGAAGGCAGATTCTGCACCACTGGGCCACCAGGGGAGCCCGAGCAGCTTCCTACTAGCTGTCTGTGTTACACGTGGCAGTGTATATGTCAGTGCAACTCTCTTAATTCCTTCCATCCTCTCCTTCCCCTGCTGTGTCCACAAGTCCATCCTCTCATCTGCATCTCTATTCCTGCCCTTCAAACAGGTTCACAGGATCATTTTTCCAGATTCTGTAATATATGTGTTAATATACAATATCTGTTTCTGTATTTCTGACTTCACTCTATCAACACTTTATGATTAAATAATTGGCTGACTATGCCAGTTATGGCACTAACAGCCCAGGGAGACAGCCACAGGTAGCTGGTGACTCTCATTTGTAACTGTCTTTCTTGCTCCTTTACCTCTTCACTTTTCTCCCTACTTGTCTTGCGTTTCTCCTGTTCTGGTTTCTCCCCCTGTACCAGAACTGCCAGTAGTACTTGAGGGTATTACTTAGTCGAAAGGGTAGCACTTGGTTAAAATACAGAGCTCTGCCCAAACCCACTCACCACCCTCCAGCTTACCTGTGAAAAGTTCAGGGGCCATATGGATTGGTGTCCCCACAATGCTGCCTGACATCATGGCCTCTGGCTTGCAGAATCCTAAGTCAGTGATCTTGGCACGGTTCTGCTTGTCCAACTGCCAACAAAGCAGGATGCCAGTCACCCTATGCCTCGCCCTGCACACAGCGCTCAACTGCATACCCAAGCTCAGAAGCAGGCACCCACCTCACAGCAGTACTTAATCAGCTCTGCCTCCCATCTCCCTGTCTCCAGACTTACTCCTGTTACTTCTCCCCAGACTGTAAGCAACCTGATGCCAGGACCGTCTTTTTCATCTTTGTATCCCCAGCATATAGCATTGTGCTTAGCACGTATCAAGAGCTTAGCAAATGTTGGAAGAATGAATAAATGAAGGACACTAAGGCAAAGTATTTCAGTTCCTGATTATTCTCCTCTGACCTCCAGAACCCAGGGCAGAAAGTTGGTAAGTGAGAAGGTTGAGGTCCTCTGGTCAGCTGAGGGCTTTTATGACTCCCTCAAGTTTCCTTTCCTAAGGTCCAAGGCAATAAATCTATGTCTCAGAGGAATAAAGAAGCAGCTGTATATATATATAATGGAATATAACTCAGCCATAAAAAAGAATGAAATGATGCCATTTGCAGTGACATGGATGGACCTAAAGATTATCAAAAGAAGAGAAGTCAGAGAAAGACAAATATAGGACACCACTTCTATGTGGAATCTAAAACATGATACAAATGAACTTATTTACAAAACAGAAGCAGACTCATAAACATGGAAAACAAACTTATAGCTACCAAAGCGGAAAGGGGTGGCAGAGGGATAAATTAGGAGTTTGGGATCGGCAGAAATAAATTACTACATATAAAATAGATAATCAACAATGTTTATAGCACAGGGAACTATATTCAGTATCTTGTAATGGCATAAAATTGGTAAGAATATGATAAAAGAATACAGATATGTAGAACTAAATCACCTTGCTATATACCAGAAACTAACACAATGTTATAAATCTTTATGTAACTGTAATTGTGTTGTGCTTAGTCGTGTCCAACTCTTTAAGACCCCATGAACTTCAGCCTGCCAGGGTTCTCTGTCCATGGAATTTCCCAGGCAAGAATCCTGGAGTGGGTTGCCATTTCCTCCTCCAGGGGATCTTCCCAACCCAGGGATCAAATCCATTCCTCTTGTGTCTCCTGCATAGGCAGGTGGATTCTTTACCACTGAGCCACCAAGGAAGCCCCGATAATGGCATTTTAATTATGTGGAAGAATGTCTTTTCCTTAGAAGATACAGCTGAAGTATTTGGGAGCAAACTTGGTTGTTGTTTTTTTAATTAATTTAGCTGCTCCAGGCCTTAGCTGCGGCACTTGGGATCTTCAATCTTTGTTGTGGCTGGATCCTGTTGTGCAGGATCTTTAGTTGCAACGTGAGAACTCTTAGTTGCAGTTATGTCAATCTAGTTCCCTGACCAGGGATCAAACCTGGGCCGCCTGCATTGGGAGCACAGAGTCTTGGCCAGGGATCACGAGGGAATTCCCTAGAAGCAGACCTTTATCTGCAACTTACTCTCATATAGTTCAGTAAAAAAGTGTGTGTGCACATGCAGGTGACGAGAGCGAGAAAGAAACAAAAAGAGCCTACACTAGGAGAGTATGGATCTGGATGAGCAGCATGTGGGTCTTCATCACACCACTTTTTTAGCTTCTCTGTAAGTTTAAATTTTCTCACCAGGGTTAGGAGAAAAAACCTTAAGCAATATAAGCTAGACCTATGACGCAATTCTTCCCTAAGCTGAAAGTCCAAGATACCATCCATCTGTTATGCTGTGAACTGTTTTACTCTCACCCCAGGCTTTTCCTGTGAACAATTATTTTATGTGTGAAAGTCTTAGTCGCTCAGTCGTGTCTGACTCTTTGAGACCCTATGGACCGTAGCTAGTCAGGTTTCTCTGTCTGTGGAATTCTCCAGGCAAGAATACTGGAGTGGACAGCCATTCCCTCCTCGAGGGAATCTTCCCAACCTAGGGCTCAAACATAGGTCTCCTCCATGGCAGGCAGATTCTTTACTATCTGAGCCGCTAGGGAAGCCCTCATTTATGTGTACTTCCTTCCAAAGGTCACTTACATGCAGAGACAGGGAGTTATCTTGGCGAAACAGCTCTTACTTACCAGCACATTTTTCAGTTTGACATCACGGTGGACAAGCCCCTGGCTGTGCAGAAAGCGGATTCCCTCCACGACATCTAGGGCTATCTGCAAACGGGTCTCCAGGGCCAGCCCAGCCTTGGGGAGACAAAAGGGCTTACGTGTCACCAAGAGGACGACTCCTCAACCCCACTCGCTTATACCGACTAAGAGTTCCTCTGTGAGGTACTGAGAGACTGCACACTAGGGTACCAGGCAGAGAAGCGGGTGAGAGCCAGGGATGAGAAAGGCAGGCAGGAGAGGGAAACAAAGGGAAGGCAAGGAAAGGCAAGCTGTAAGGCCAGAGCACGTCTCCTGCAGGCAGCACTCAGGCAGCTGGGTAGTCCCCAAAGGTGACCTGGAGAGCCACAACTAAACACCTAAAGGCATGAGCTCATCTCTAACCTGAATAAACTCTAGAACTGCCTTAGAGGCTCAGAGTGAGTATTTCTAGGACTCTCAGGCAGATTTACTTCCATTGTTTTGGAGGCCTAGTTAGTCCAGATTTGGTTTTATGGATTCAAATGCCAAAGTCATTCATGTTAATTGTAGCAAGGTTCCAATTGAGGGTCTTCTGAATTCTGGAGAATGTTATATCACTTATCCAAAAGCCCATATATGGTTCTCTAACCCACTTATGGAAAAGCATCTCAAGGTGCCGAGCCTAACTCCCCTGAAATGAAGAAAGAAAGCCACTTGGAGAGTCCTTTTCTTCATTTTATTGATTTCTCATGGCTCCTGCAAGCATTTCTAAAGATTCTTCTGTCTTACTTCTGAAAGCTTCCATATAAACTGGGAAAAGAGGCACCTGTGAGAAGAAACCTACCAGACACTCTGGGGTTAGCTTTTCTAGCTCCAGTGTAGAGGACAAACAAAAGAAACCTCTTTATTTCCCTCCTGCGGCCTGTTTTAGATGAGAGGAACTCAGCATTCAACTGAGAACATTTTACCTTCGTTCAAAATCTTTTGCTTCTCACTGTCTACAAAAGAATTTGAATTTTATGGAATTCTTAACAGTTTTGGTCTTTTATAATTTGTTCCCAACACTTCTTTGCATATCATTTCCCCTCTATTCCCCAAATGAACCACCTGCTCCAACACAGTCATAGTATCTTTCACAAGTCCTGGGCACTATCCTACTTCTTCCCCTGGTTTAAGTTCTTCTTTTCAACATCTGCCCAAATTTTACCCACCAGGGTATTATCAAACTCAAATGGCACCTGTTGAAATGATCACTGACTACAATTTTTTTTCAAGTCTTGGCCAAAATAAATTTATATATATTTTTTTTTTCCCCAATTATATGTTTTGATATCCTCTTATGTTGCTTAATACAAGGCCTTGTACAAAGTAACCACTAATAAATATTTGCTGACCAAAAAAAACTGGTTTAATTCACTAAGAACAAAAAAAGAGAAAGAATAGTAGAGTTATAGGAAGCTTTTCTGCTCCTCTGTGTAGTCTAGATTTTTATTATCACCACAATAGGTAAAAGTAGTGAATTGCAATATTCTAGATATAAAATGGGCCAAAAAACAACTTATGAGACATTTTTTAGGCTTTTGGAACTGAAGGTAATAAAGTTTGATTACTCCAAAAACGTCCTATGAGAGCGAGAGGCTCTGAATCAGGAAGAAGGGAGGAAGGCCAGAAAGGAACCCGTGAATCTGGCTGCAAACTGGCCACTCCCTGTTGGCCCCCTCACCTTCAGCCCTGTGTAGAGGTCCCGGTGCAGCCGCTCCATGATGAGCAGCACAGCGATGCTGGAGCCACCGCCGTAGCTGTAGTCGATGACAGAACCGTGCAGATCCACCAAGCGCTCATGCTTTGGCAGAGACCTGGTGAGGAGCAGAGAGGCCTGGGCTAGAGCATCTTGGTGCTATCCTCGAGTAGCATGTCACCACGGGGGACCATGCTTAGTCCAGGCCCAGAGTAATAGCCCTCAGGACAGAGAGTGCCAAGAGAATGGGCTCTCTAACAAGGACAAAGAATTATTGAATCTGAAAGTGGACAGGCCCTGAGGACTAAGGAAGAAAGGCAAACATAAGGATGTGTCTAAGAATTAGGATGGGTGGAAAGGGCAGGGAAAGGAGTAAAGGCCTTGAAGAGACCGAAATACTGGCCTACAGCATTGTGAGACACGGAATGGAGGGACAGGGCACACTGTATCTCTTGGTACAAAATTTATACGAGGTTTCTAGGTTCCTCTCTAGAAGAACTGCTCCCCCAGAGATGACTGAGAGCAGAACCTACCTCATGTAGTGGAACTCCAAAGCCAGGTCATTCCAGTGCTTCTCATCTGGGGGGACAACTGACTTGAGGGCACAAGGGAAGTGCCCCCCCCAGTTGTCACACAGGTACACCACTCCGTACTGGCCCCGGCCCAGCTCCTGCCCCAGTTTAGGTTTACCTGTAAGGGACAGAGACAGAGATAAGGCAGGAAGGATGTGAACGTGCTGGGCAACTGACTCTTAATTAAGATTCTCAGATGCGGACCTGCGTAGAAGCAGGAAGTCATAACTATGCCAGGGGAAGAAATGTGGATGTTTTGTAAACCAGTAGTAACCTAACTGCTTTAATTTAAATAAACTTTGGTTGTGTTATTTGAACAATATAAACAGCAGGACCAAGCAGACTTCATCAGAAATTCAAAAATAGTAGATGTTTAGACAGCTTTGCAAGCTTTAGACAGTGGGATTCTCCGAGGTTGGACATGAGGATGTTAGGTATCCAGAAGCCTCCTCCAATTTACTAGGGAAAAAGTAAGGACTCACGATGCAGTAAGACATCCTGTAAAGAACGGCTTTCCAGCGAAAGGCGTGCCAGGCGGGGAGCATGATCTTTCCGAACCTTCAGCCATAGATCTTCAGTTTTCTCCAACCGGCCTGAGTGGCCAGCTTCCAGCTGGGACAGAAAAAGAAGAAAGAAATATGGCTTATCAGGTCCCCAGCTTTGGCTTCCTCACCTATTATAGGGATAACAATATCTACCTCATGAGGGTAACTGTCAGAATTAAGTAAGATGCATATAACGGAACTCAGGGGTTGGCAGGCAGTGAGCACTCATTAAGTAGTAATTTTTTCCTCCTGGATGTATAATCACATCTACCCACCCTCCCCTCCACCATCATGTACACACATGCACCTGCACACACCCACACCCTCCCCAAAAGGCACAAACAAATGTCACATAATTGCAAATTACTATGAAAGTTGGGGGCTTCCCGGCTGGCTCAGATGGTAAAGAAACTGCCTGTGGTGCAGGAGACCTGGGTTCTATAACTGGGTTGGGAAGATCCTCTGAAGGAGGGCATGGCGACCCACTCCAGTATTCTTGCCTGGAGAATCCCCTTGCCTGAGAATCCCCTGCAGTCCATGGGGCTGCAAAGAGTCGGACATGACTGAGTGACCAAGCACAAGCACACACATGGAAGCTTAAATGCCATCCCTTTTTGTCACTCATTCCTAAAATACTACATAAACTCATATAAAATTCCTACCCTTTGATTTTCATTCCTCACTCAGTGAAGTGAGGAGAAATTAACTGAGTTTTCTCCATTCTCTCTAGAGTTAGAAAAATATCCACACGAAACATTTATTGATGAAACACCCTGTAACTTAGTATTGTCCTCTAACACAACAGAAAGAAAATATACTGATGATTTTTAAACAATTATACAGAGGGCAGTAGATAAAGCACTCCACAGCAGATGAGGCTCCTCTCTGCTTGATCCAGTTGTATCTCCTTTCCTACAGACTCACCTGCCGCAAGGAAGCTGCAAAGGCCTCGTGAGAACTGTTGAGCCGAGTCCTGAACTGGCTGCAAATGCTTTTGGCCAGCTTGGAGGCACTGAGGCTCTCGATGGCTTCCTGGGCCACCTTCCTCTTCCACTCCAGTGTGATGGCAGGTGGGCTCACCCAAGTGATGCGCTGGATAATCTGTCAGGACAGGGGTAGTGAGAACACTGAGGAGGGGAGACAGGAACCACTAGGAAGCACCCCTTCCTTGCGGGATTACCCATTCAGCAGGCCAGGATCTTCAGACCAGAGCTGTATGAGGTCCAACAGTCCTCTCCAATTTCACCTACCTCAAAATCGGGGCTCAGTCCAATGGAAAGCATCAAAGAACACTAGGCTTGGAATGCATGTTCACAAATCCTCAATACATTACAATCAATACTGGGGGTGCCTGATAAATCCCTTTCTAAAGTCAGCAAATAATTCAATATAAGAACCAGACTGAATACCAGAAAATAAATTATACTCATGGTCTTTGGTAACAAAGCCTGGTTCTGAGAAAACACTTGGGTTGGGGAAAAGAAACATGAAAAAGCTAGAGAAGTAGAGTTTCATGGCTCCATAAAATATCATTTAGGTACATCACTTTTAAGAGTTAAAGGGGACAGTTAATAATTATTTTAGAACAGGCATAAATCAGAACTTTCCCAGGCAGGAAAGTCAGGAGCAATGGCCACCTATACTGACAGATATCAGTTTGTCTAGGACAGACATCCTAGACATTAGTTCCTGTTGGAGCAACCAAGATTCATTTGAGCCAATTAGGGGCTGAAAAATATTTCCCTAAAAAACCTCTACCTGTTTGATTTGCTCCCACAGCATCCTTGTAACTGAGGACCCTGAGTGAAATGTGACTTCAACATGATAGGCAGCATTTAAGATCTGAAAAAGAATACACAATAAGAAAGTCAATATGCCCTGAGTAAAGTGGATAATTAAAAATGCAATAAATGATATTTATTTCAAGAACATGGTCCAGTTTCAAGGGTCCCAAATCTACCCCTCCATGTATGTGCAGAGTCAAGGCACGGCGGTCACCTGTTTTGTGACCAGTGGGACCCCTCTGATTCATCTCCGTCGTCTTGCTCACTGGCTGGGCTGCAACCTGACAGCTCACAAGCACCCCCACAGACAGAGGTCGTGAGACAAGAAAACAAAATTCAAACTGCACTGGCACGAAGACTGAAAGGGAGATTCTTGGCTAACTTGAAGCTGGGCTCATGGGTGGATTCTGTTTCCTGTGTTATCTGTGGCCAGCTCTTAACTACCCTCTGAGTACCTGTTTGAGATAATTACTGGTGATGTGAACAGAGACATCCTGAGACTTCTCCAGGCTCTGCAGACACCGTTCCAGGGTTCCAACGAAGCTCTCACGTAGGTAATCCACGGAGCTGATCAGCTTGTTAGCCACTGCTTGATTAAGCCGGGAAATGATGAGCTCCTGGATCTGTCGGATGCAGCATTTGATCTCTCTGGTGCCCACTGGCTCTCCATTTTCAGGGACAATGACATCTATGGAGGCACAGCAAAAAGCTAATTTGTTGTGAGGGGAATGGGCAGGTACGCTGAATACTGTCGGACCCAAGGAGCTAGCATGCTAATTGCTACAAAACACACAAGGCTGACAAACTTGGACTCTCAGCATGAGGGGTCATGCAATCCTCAACCATTTAAGGCATCTAAGAATCCTGAAGGAGCACCTATGTACAGAATGAACCTATTGATTCTGTCAGCTCTTACATCACATTTACAGAAGGAGAGGAACAACATTTATTGAGTGCGGACTATCTGAAATGCACAGTATGTATTTTACATATCTAATCTAATTTAACCCTAACAACAACGTCAGAGGGTATTACTGGTTATATTTGATACATCAGGAAAAAGCCTCAAAAAGAGAATAAACTGGGCACTGGGAGGGGATGGTAAAGTTAGGTAATAATATACCTAGCATTTGAACACAAAGCTCATGAATTCCAAAGCCTCTAATCTTTGTAATATTTCACACTTCCCAGCATATTAATGAGAAAAATCCAAGAGTCAAGAATTCAATTCTAATCAACTATTGGAGAAATAAAAAGTAAAACTGGAACGTTGTCATTGCTTCAAGGATACACAATGTGTATCTTTGCATTGCAAGTGCAGAGTCTGAACCTCTGGACGGCCAGGGAAGTCCTCATGCTGAGGTTTTGAAGCTGGTTCCCAAGAAGATGGTAACATCAATAACAGGGAACAGATAAAGAAGCAGTAAAGTGTGGAAATTATGAATATGAGCTCAGGAATCAGACTGTCGAGATTCAAATTCTGCCTCTACTACTTAGTATCTCTGTGATCTTGAGCAAATTACTGAAGCTATCTGAGTCTTAATTCCCTCATCTAGAAAATGGCAATAAGCAGAACCCACCTATAGAGGCTGTTCTACTATGTTAAGAACTATGGATGGAAGTTCATGACATTGTATAGGAGGCAGTGATCAAGACCATCCCCAAGAAAAAGAAATGCAAAAAGGTAAAATGGTTGTCTGAGGAGGCCTAACAAATAGCTGAGCAAAGAAGAGAAGCAAAAGGCCAAGGAGAAAAAGAAAGACACACCCATCTGAATGCAGAGTTCCAAAAACAGCAAGGAGAGATAAGAAAGCCTTCCTCAGTGATCAATGAAAAGAAATAAGAGGAAAACAACAGAATGAGAAAGACTAGAGATCTCTTCAAGAAAATCAGAGCTACCAACGGAACCTTTCATACAAAGATGGGCACAATAAAGGACAGAAATGGTATGGACCTAACAGAAGCAGAAGATATTAAGAAGAGGTGGCAAGAATACACAGAAGAACTATTCAAAAAAGATCTTTATGACCCAGATAACCATAATGGTGTGATCACTCACCTAGAGCCAGGCATCCTGGAGTGCAAACTCAAGGGGGCCTTAGGAAGCATCACTACGAACAAAGCTAGTGGAGGTGATGGAATTCCAGCTGAGCTATTTCAAGTCCCAAAAGACGGTGCCGTTAAAGTGCTGCACTCAATATGCCAGCAAATTTGGAAAACTCAACAATGGCCACAGGACTGGAAAAGCTCAATTTTCATTCCAATCCCCAAGAAAGGCAATACCAAAGAACGTTCAAACTACCACACAACTGCACTCATCCCACACTCTAGCAAAGCAATGCTCAAAATTCTCCAAGCCAGGCTTCAACAGTACATGAAATGAGAACTTCCAGATGTTCAAGCTGGATTTAGAAAAGGCAGAGGAACCAGAGATCAAATTGCCAACATCCGCTGGATCATAGAAAAAGCAAGAGAGTTCCAGAAAAACATCTAGTTCTGCTTTATTGATTATGCCAAAGCCTTTGACTGTGTGGATCACAACAAACTGTGGAAAACTCTTAAAGAGATGGGAATACCAGAAAACCTTACCTGTATGCAGGTCAAGAAGCAACAGTTAGAACCAGACATGGAACAATGGACTGGTTTCAAATTGGGAAAGGAGTACGTCAAGGCTGTATACTGTCACCCTATTTATTTAACTTATATGCAGGGTACATCATAAGAAATACCAGGCTGGATGAAGCACAGCTGGAATCAAGATTGCCGGGAGAAATATCAATAACCTCAGATATGCAGATGACATCACCCTTATGACAGAAAGTGAAGAGGAACTAAAGAGCCTCCTGATGGAAGTGAAAGAGGAGAGTGAAAAAGCTGGCTTAAAACTCAACATTCAGGGACTTCCCTGGTGGTCCAATGGCTGGGACTCTGCACTTCCACTGCAGTGGGCAGGGTTTGATTCCTGGTCAGGGAACTAAGATCCCACATACTGAGGTGTGGCCAAAAAAAAAAAAAAAATTAAAAAAAAACCTCAACATTCAAAAAACTAAGATCATGACATCCAGTCCCATCACTTTATGGCAAACAGATGGGGAAACAATGGAAACAGTGACAGACTTCATTTTCTTGGGCTCCAAAATCACTGCAGATGGTGACTGGAGCCACGAAATTAAAAGACGCTTGCTCCTTGGAAAAAAAGCTATGACCTATCTAGACAGCATATTAAAAAGCAGAGACATTACTTTGTCGGCAAAGGTCCGTCTACTCAGAGCTATGGTTTTTTCAGTAATCGTGTATGGATGTGAGAATTGGACTATAAAGAAAGCTTAGCATCAAAGAATTGATGCTTTTCAACTGTGGTGTTGGAGAAGATTCTTGAGAATCCCTTGGACTGCAAGGAGATCCAACCAGTCCATCCTAAAGGAAATCAGTCCTGAATATTCATTGGAAGGACTGATGCTGAAGGTCCAATATTTTGACCACTTGATGTGAAGAGCTGACTCACTGGAAAAGACCCTAATGCTGGGAAAGACTGAAGGCGGGAGGAGAAGGGGACAACAGAGGATGAGATGTTTGGATGGCAACACTGACTCAACGGACATGAGTTTGAGAAAGCTCTGGGAGTTGGTGTTGGACAGGGAGGCCTGGTATGCTGTAGTCCATGGGGTCAAAAAGAGTTGGACATGACTGAGCGACTGAACTGAACTGAGAGCTAATGTTCACGCAGGAGTCACTATACAAAGTCAGCAGCACCCAGACCTCAGACACCAAAAGACCTGACTAAGCATTTGGCCCAATTTTCTTAACAGTCATTCATGAAGAACAGGAATGCCAGGAAAGCTAAAACTGCTACTTTGGGAAATCCTTCTGAGTTACGTCTCAAGAGCACCCTGAAAAGAAAATGAGACCATGAGACACAAAACAGCACCAACACAGCAGCATGGGCCACGACAAAGGAGTCAGGACTAAAGCACGACTCAGCGACATTCTCAAGCAGCTCTTCTCCAGTCTTACAGAGGCACGGGGATACAAATAGGTACCTGAGACTGAAGAGCAGTACTGGGATGAATTTATCAAACAGGAAGGAATGTTGGCAGACTTTTCAAGAAGACCTCTCAGAACAAGAGAGGCCAACTTTGCTCACTGATTTCAGGTAGGCTGCTGCTAATAAGCCCCACCGAGGTAAGTTCCTTCGGGCTTCAGAACTGATGTCCTCTACGCCAGCTGGAAAGGGTTCGAGGATGCCTAGTTCCTGCACCCTACCAAGCTCTCTAGGACCCACCTTTGAACTCCATGTTGGCGGCATCATCCAGAAGTTCCTCCTTCATGGTGTTAAGAGTCTCAACGATCATGTCCTTCATTTCCTCTTGCTTCCGGTTGGCAATATTCATCAGTGATTCATACAGCTCATTCTCCTTTTTTCGAGTGTATTCCAGACGTTTGGGTGTAATCTGCAGGTCCCGCTGCATGTCAAAGGCCTGGTTAATGAAGATGTCGAGGCAGCGGCAGTGCACCAGGTTCAGGGCCTTGGCTGCGTCCACTAGGCGGGTCTGGAGCACCTGGTGAGAAAACGTGTTCAGGTGTCTCAGCTTCTCACTGTGCTCCACCAGCATGCTCTGGGCTTTGGTGTCCTGGCCGGGGGCCGCACAGTTACAGCGGCTGCTGCTCAGATAGCCCAGGTCAGTCAGCTGGCGATGAAGTGGTGATCTTTCACTCTCCGTTCTTTCAGTGGAGGAGTCAATTATCTCCGAGCCCGGCTTCGGCACTTTGAAAAAGAATATGGGAAAGGAGAAATACTTTCGGATTTCCTGAAGCTCTTGCTCATCCCTCTCAGAGAGTTCATCTTTGTGGAGTGCATAGGTTATCACAGGCAAGAAATCATTCACCAAGTCACCCAGAACATCCACTGTGGGCCGGAGGCCTTGGCATGGTGCTACCACAATGTCCACTTCCTGGAAGGGGAAGGGGGTCATATCAGCACTTCAGGGTCAGAACCAGTCCTTGCCTCCCCAGAGTCCCACATTGAGACCAAAATGCAGATCTATGATGGGGCAGCTGGGCTTCAGTACATGCCCCAATCACTTGTCCCCCTCTTTCCTCAGTTATCAACACTCCCTGGTGCCACCTAAGCAGGCAGGCACTCATCAAGAGAGAGTGAAAAAACAAGTAAGTAGAAAGGATGGCAGTCCTTTCAGCCATTTTAGATAAAAAAAGAACCTGGAGTCCCTTTTGTTGCTTTGGAAACTGCCGCTGATTCCCTCTGATGAAGAAAGAACTCTTAGACTGAGAGTGGATCTGCCTGGAACATTCCTCCCCCTCTTTCTAACCTGACTCATCCTCAACTTTCTAACTCCCATGCATCCTTTAAGTCTCAGTGTATACCCTGTGTCATACCCTTTTGGAGTCTTCCCTAATAGGAAATCCTTATTAGGGGAGCACTCTCTACTTCTCCTTCTCTTAATGGTCAATACACTTATATACTTATAATTTATTTATTTAAAAACAATTTTTTTTCCAATTAGCTTATAAACTCTTTTGAGAGAGGGAACATGTCTATCTTTTTCACCCTGTAACTCCAGTGCCTGGTACAGAGTAAGTCCTTAACACTGCTAAATCAATCAATCAAGCAGCAAACTAAAGGTTAGATCTGTCAAACATTACCATCCTATTGTAAGAGTTGGCAAGCATCCCAAGGTCTCAGCCATCAGGTCTCAGGAATACCTTTATGCTCATGATCACTTGGTCTGGCAGAGACTAAGGTCTGCCTAACCAATATTTAACCTCTGCATCAATGGGAAGGCAATGTCTTTTATAGACATTGGGCGGCCAACAGTAGGTAGGACAACAAAAAGCTCTTCAAAGGGTTGATTCTGCTAGCAAGTACACGCTGTGGCCTTGCCCTTCTTGCCTGGAGCACAGATGTGACAGACAGACAGACTGGTCATCCTACAGCCCTTGGGCAGTCCTGAGAGAAGTCAGCCCTGAGGATGAGGAAGCAAAAAGAAAAGTGGGAGTTTGGATCTCTGACGACTATAGAGCTGCCACACCAGCTCTCAACTGCCTAGCTTTGGACGTATGTAAGGGGAAAATGTATTAACCTCTGTCTTGCTTAAGCAAACCCTTATTTTTCTGATTGTTACCTATGTTTGAACCCAATCATCACTGATACACCCAACTCCTAAACAGGTCATTTCCCTAGTTATTAGTTTCTGCTTATCATTCTACTTCTTCACTAAGGATCTCAACTCACTTAAGAGCATACATTTCCATCCATATGGGAATATGGAGGGAAATAAATTTTGCTCCTCGAAATCTCTGAAATTGCCTACTTTGCCTGGCACTCCAGACCTAAGCATTTATCTGGAGACTCATACCTATATTACCATTGCAGGCACACCAACTCTGAAGTCTGCAGACTCAAAATCAATCCTTTGCAGAATTCTAAAATGTTTTAAAGAGTTTTCCTTTTTGATCTCCTTCTCCAGACAATGGAGAAAGGGCTGGGAAATGCCAGCTCATTATTTCTTGTACTGTGTGTAAGTGTGTATGTGTGTGCCTGTACTAAAGAACAGAGAGTGAGAGACAGCGAGCTCTTATTTCCACCAAAGCACAAAGGTCTCACCTTCTTCCTCAACAAAGAATTCATAAATTTTATTCTCAGGTAGGCCACAGAACTTTCATTTGACTAGCCATTTTGAACTCTCTAAAACTAAAACTGCTTTTAGGATCTCATCATTTGTAATTTGAGCAAACACTACATAAATCTACTTGCTTTCTAGCCAAGCCTAGGCCAAGAAGAAATCTGCTATTCACCTGTACCTCAAACTGCATGGAATGTCTTCTGATTGGAAGACTAATCTGACACTCACTCTGCTATTCAAAACAAGCCCCCTTTCACTACCCTGAGTCACAATGCTGGAGTATGAATCATTTCATGAGGCACATTCAAAAAAGAGGGTAAGTAAGAACATTTAAGATTTAAAGTAGAGCATGCAATTGCCTAAATGCCAATATTCTAATTACATACAGTAATTATAGACTAGAAGAGAATTTCAAGAAATGAAAAGTTATAACAAGATAATTATGGGTGACAGTGGCTTTTAAAATATTTTAAAAATGGCTTCTGTCTTAAATATATCTTTTTAAAGCTATAAATCAATCAAACTTAATATAGAAATATTAAGAGAAAAAGTCTAAATATTCAAAACAAAGTAAGTGTTGTTAAGAAAGTTTTCAGGAAGAATTTTGCTGCTTGTTTATTTGATGTATTTTCTTAAAATTTTAAAGCAAATTTCCAGGTTTTTCTCAAAGGACCATTTTATGTGTGCAACAGAACTGTCGGCCAAAGCTGCCAAGTCCACTTGTAGAACCAATATCCTTTGTAAAGGAGAGCTGACTTTATTTGCTCACAAATGCAAATTTATTTTTTTTTAAAAAATAGGATTCAGAGGATAGAGAAGATACATACACATATACACCTATACATCACTGGTGGTTCAGATGGTAAAAAAATCTGTAATGCAGGAGGACCTGGGTTTGATCCATGGGACTGGAAGATCCCCCAGAGAAGGGAATGGCTACCCACTCCAGTATTCTTGCCCGGAGAATTACATGCACAGAGGAACCTGGTGGGCTACAGTTTATGGGGTCACAAAGAGTTGGATGACTGAGCAACTAACACTTTCACTATATAATATACACATACACACACACACACACACACACACACACACAGTGGAATACTACTCAGCCATAAAAAGAATGAAATTTGGCCATTTAGAGCAACATGGATATACCTGGAGGGCATTGTGCTAAGTGAAATAGACACAGAAAGACAAATACTGTATGATATCACTTACATGTGGCATCTAAGAAATAAAACAAGCTAGTGATTATAACAAAAAAGAAACAGACACACAGATACAGAGAAAAAACTAGTGGTTACCAGTACAGACAAGGAAGGAGAGATGGGAAAGCTTGGGGTAGGGGATTATGAGGTACAAACTTCTGTGTATAAAATAAATAAGCTTCAGGGAATATAGCCCATATTTTATAATAATTATAAATAGAATATAACCTTTAAAAACTGTGAACCACTATGTTTATACCTGTAACTTATATAATACATCAGCTATACATCAAGTTTCAAAAATTCCCCTAAAATGAACTCTGATGGTAGATACTGCCTGGTGCCTTGGCACCTAGAAAGAAAGTATCTAGTCCTAAATATATCTTGTACAAACAAAAATGGATAGAAAACAATTCCATGCTCTCTCTTCTCCATTCCCCAGTTAATTAATTTGTGTAGTCGGTCTCACTGTTCTGACTATCTTGACTGTTGGAACACAGGCAAAATAGAGCTGCTGGCTGAGACCCTGGCATCAGTACAAACTAGACTGGAATGTGATACGTGATTCTGCAATACTCACGGCAAAGGGATGACTCATGCCTGACGGTTATAAACAAAAAGGGAAGCTGCACTGTCTCCTGGAGACAGGGAGTGAAAAAAAATTCACAGAGAGAATGAGCCCTGTTCTTGGCCCATATGTTATGGCCACCTGAGAGGGAAGACTGACCTCAGACTATTTCATGGAAGGCTGTACTCCTTCCTGGCACTTAGAACAGTGTTTGCACTTACTGAGCATTCAATAAATAAATGTGCAATTACTGGATGAATAAATGATGCCTATACTATTTGCTCAAAACCATTTTCAATCATCATATGTAAAACTGTCTATTTTTTAACCCATATCTCACACATTTATCTGGAACTGCTGTTTGCGTCTACTCCAAGAATGAAGCAGTGAGGAAACATTTTGCTCTGAAATCAGTCAAAGCAGAATCCAGAGAATCAGAAGAGTATGCCATAATTCCCATTTTGAGTCACAGAAAATTCCTAAAGAGGTTATCTTTTTTATAATGTATCTGCACAAATCTGTGGAATCTACAGAAGCTGATGTATTACCATCAATTCTCTAGGCAAGATTAAGAGAATGTAATACAAAAGCAGACTGCTGCTCTGCAAACACCAGAATTTTCCTCTTTCGTTGTTTTATTTTAATATAAAATGACACTATCTTAAGTGCCAAGAAGAAATGGTTTTATCACTGAAGCCTGACCACTTCCTAAAAATACTGGCTCTGATTGGTGAGGACTTTTACTCTATGACTCACAGCACATTACACCCTCAGCGATAGCTAAGGACGGTTGTCTTAACCAACAGTTCAAACAGAAGACAATCACACACTCAGATAGGTCATGAATGTCTGTTTTCTCCACAGTTCCACAACCTCATTCCATCACACAGAAAAGAAGCACATAACTATACAGTCCTACCCTCTGCTCAACAACGGACACATCCTGGACTCCAATCCCTGTCTCCATATTCTACCGACCATCACCATCAATTCTCCTCCCATGCCCACTCGCACAGAACAATGGGAGGTTTTCCCCATTTTACACAAGGTTGATTCTTCCTCATTTGTGTACAGTTCTCTGAAATCACTATCACTCTTAAATGTCAATTATACAGTAAGGCAAATACATCCCTATGGTGTTGCAGAGTCAGACACTACTGAGCACACACAGTCCGCGCATGCTCCCTCTTCCTGTTACACTGTAGAAAATATCTCGACTCTTGATTTGAGCACTCTTCAGTGTGGAGCTGTGACTGAACTGCTTTCTAGAATATAACAGGCCACAAGCAGCTGTGCCAACCCAGGGCTTCACCCCAGCAGTCAGCATAAAATGGATACTAGCTCATCTCCCTAGCCAGTAAAAGTAGGGAGTGGTAACTCACAGACCAGAACAAGACTTGAGAAAAACCATAATCCCAACCAAAGCCCTCAACTAGCCACAGAAAGCATGAGACCATTATGCTAAAAGCGGAAGTGTGTTACGATCCCGCACACATCAAAGCAAAGGCTTTAGATCTGCATCTCAGCTCACAAGC